CTAAGGAGAGTCACACGGAGAGAAAACATTCTCTCAGGCTTTCATGGGAAGCACATTTGCCAAGCAATGGCCATCACTCATCCAAGTGGCTGACATTGACAAAGGATCTACAATCTTATGTACAGGATCTCAGGATAAATCCTGAGGGGATTTCACTGACCTTATCAGATCCAAAAACTACAAGTCTTGTTGCATAGGTCTTGCTTTATTTTGGTCTTAACCATGCAACAGAAAAGTATAAAAACGAAATACAGTAAGTAAAGCCATGTTGGTATGTTTAGCTGTAGGGGACTTAGGTCAACAATTTTGACACTACCAGCCAAGTGGAAGACTCAATACTATTATGGATTACTGGACTCTTTTAGAATATTTTTGCTGAGTTAACACACCTATAATATTCAAATGACAGAACTAAACAAAAAAGGGGATATATAAGTGAATGTCCATTTTGTATCTGTGTATTCAAAATGGTTAGGATAGATATATAGTTACATTCTCTTAATGAACAGAGGGATTTGTTAATGTTTGTGAATAGGATATCATGCCTGCGTCTTGTTCAGCAATTAACCACTAGGAAGGCAGTATGCAACGTGTTAATTACTGAAACTGTCCTACCAATTTGATTTGAAACTGTCTCATTGCTTTTTGTCTCTCAATGAAGTTATGAAGAAAAAAATAAATAAATTACCTATTTTACAAAAATCACTTGAAAATTTTAAAAATATGCAACCTATACACAGCATATCTATATTTCCATGATTTTATACTCATTTTTCCCTATTTTAAATATTAGATGTCTGACATCATTTTTCCTAAGTTGATTCCTTACAAGATTCTAATGATTGTCACTGCTTGTTAAATACATAATTATCAAACATTATGCAATAATTTAGAAGACCACCCAATTAGCAATAATCAGACAACTGTTTCTATGTACACTGCACACTAGGTCTTGCTTTTCGCTCCTTTTTGAAATGTACTACATGTACCCACCTTCTGGCTCCCATTTGCTATAATATTGTACAGATAAATAGTAATTAATCCCAAAAGTAAAGCCTCTGACTAACATAAACCGCAAAATTCATTTAGCCTTTAATGGAGACAAAGGGTAGTCTCCTTAAGCATCTATTCTCCCATACCAATATTTATTTTGTTGTTTACTCACATGAAAGTGGCATGGAGGGGTAGCAGTAAAGAAATAGCACTGCTATTAAACTATAAGCTAAACAGTTCTCCCTTCTCTCCAGTATGCAGGTTTATAATGGTTGTGATGTAAACAGGATCTAGGTTACACCTTCCTTGCATGCTTCTCCATCTTTGAGTCAGTTTATTTTCCATCACTTAGCCAGTTCCTAACACTGTTCGTGCACCTCCATGCTGCTCTTGCTATCCAATCTATCACTGCTGAGCAGCTATCTTCTACTAGTTCTAAACATGGTGTAAACAGCTCGCTTTGTTGGGTCACCTCATTCTTCACTTGTTTCCCTCTTGTTTCTTTCCTTGCTCACTGAAATGAACTTTGAAAATATTTATTTGTTTTGCAAAACTCAATCTACATAAGTGTTATTTATTTTCTTTAGAGTTAGTGAAGGCCCTGCAAGATACCTCAACAGACTAAGCACCTGCTTAGACAAGCAAAGGGGCCAGGGTTCAATCCCTGGCACCACATGACATGCCAGCCTGGCCCTGGGCATGATGAGCTGGCAACTGAGTCCAGGCATGGTGGTGCATGCCTGTAATCCCAGCACTAGGGAGGCTGAAAGCAGGAGGATCACTATGAATCTGAGCTGCGAGTCTAAGATGCATAGTGAGACACTGTGCCAAATACATTTTTTTAAAAAGTCAATGAACTTTATTCCTTATCTGAAAGTTACAAAATATATTATGGCAGCATTTCCCACAATATATCCTAAGAATACTAAAACTCTTCCTGCTTAGCCCAAAGTGAGAATCTGGTCTGTCTTGAAATAAGTTCTCTTTTGGACTTGAATACACACACACACACACACACACACACACACACACACACTTCAAAGTTTCCAAATTATCTGAAGAAAACACTTTTCTTTATTTAATTTAGAATTTCTACTCCTTTGACCAGGTAGTAGTCTTCTCACATAGGACTTGGGAGTCACAATTTGGCATTGTCTCTAAACGTCCCTGCCAATCCCCCTATTAAACTCCAACTCTGCCAGCCAAGGCCTTCCTTCCAAGCCAGTTTTACCAAGTTGGCTGGATTTGTCTTACATAACAGTTATTCTAAATATTTCTCTAAATTTTGAAAACATATATCCATTTCTGAACTACACGATTAAATTTCAGGATCCTTCCTTGAAACTATGAGCTGTTTATTATCCCCCTTCAATATTAGGCGCAATATTCAGTAAACAAGTCATTCATTAAGTATTGAGCAGCAAAACAACCACAATTCATTTACAGGGAGTTATTTATCACCTTGTTCTTCTTTCACTTTTGCAGGTTAAATGCTCCCAATGCTTTTAACCTTTTCTCAGAAGTCCAACTTTCTAACCTTTTAATTCTTTGTTCCCTCCCTCTCCTTTGTTCTCTCTAGACTGTCTATGACTCTCATTAATACTCCTTTGTCTCAAGTATAGAATAATAGCTTTAGGTCTTTGAGTTTTGTTACTTTGGAAGGGGAAATGGAAGAACATTTCTAAGCATATAAATCTGCTCACAAAATTTGAAATGAGGTTTAAAAAATGAATCTAGTTTCCAAACACAACCATTTTACAGAAATTTTTCCTCATTCCTACCCCCTACTGCGTGAATTCCTTGCAAAAAACATGCTGCTGCATATTCATTTTATTTCAACTATAATTTCTGTAAGAACTTATTATCCCCAGTCCTTGTCTATGATAACAGCGACTGTCACAAGCACAGGAGTAAATTTCATTCTCGTGCTCTGTATAGAGTTTTGCTGATCAAATTGCAACTTCAAACTGGAACGACTACAATCCAAGGTAGCAAAGCAGAGTGGGCAGAGCTTATGCTCTAGGGTCAGAACCCTGGGGTTCAATCCCAGCTTCACAATTTACTGCTCTGATTAGGGGTCACTCTATGAGTCTGCCTGCTCAACTGTAATACAGGGCAAAGGTTAGCCCTACAGAAGGAGGTCAGGATGAAATCACTCTGTCTGACCTGTGACCTCATCAGTGCACTACAGTAGAGAGCATTAAAATTACTAGGTGACAATTTGGAAAATATAGGAACATGTTCTCATCTCTGAAGACTCTGACTCTGGTAAGCTAAGGTCAAGCCTAGAAATCTGTCTTTTCCATTGTATTTTCCAGGCCACTCAGATATATAACCCTCTTTGGGTCTCTACACCAATATGAGAGTGTTTTATGAACAGACCAGATGTCCAGTCCTTCCTGGCTCATTCAGCGTATGTCACAGATGCTAAATAATGTTCACATACTCCATGTGAGAAACAGCAACAGGTCATCTGCCTGTGATCAGGAAGCAGGACCCCCATCTGACCTCAAATCTTCTGGTCCTTTGATCTTGAACCCCTCAATCTCCAGGACTGTGACAAATGCTTGCTGCTTAAACCATGCAGTCTATGATGTTCAAGAACAGCTCTCATGGATTGTTACACAACTTGGTCTTACCCTCTCAAGCTTACTCATTAGCTGGTACTTTTTCTTTCTCCTGATTCTTGCTTATCTCTGTAACTTCTTGACAGTGCTCCAGGGACCAGCTGTGGAACCATTTTCATCATCTAGTTTCAACCTCCATAATCAGTTTGATAGCTTAGAAGCCAACTTCAAATAATATCTCCCTCTCAGGACTCCCCTCTAAATTTTTGACTAATCATATCCAGTGCTTTGGATTAGTTTACAAGTTGTTAAAATTAAGAATCAGTTTAGAGGAAAATCCATACTAATTCATATGTGCACTACTAGAAGCCTAAAAAAGGGTGACAGTTCAATGTGAGGAGAAAAAGGTGAATTGAAATAGTATTTGAACATAATTATTCTAAGATTTGCTGGTGGATTTAGACAAAGTATGAGATGGTACAGAAAGTAACATAGTAAGGTGTCAGCTAAAGTAAGTAAAGTGTAGTAGAATAGCTATTTATGACTGGAAAAGTCTGCAGGGGGTTATCTGGAGGGATAGGAGCTGATTCAAAAGAAGTGGTCTTTCAGAACGCAAGAAAGTAGTTTAAGAAGGAAGAACCAATTGTGTCTGATACAGTAAACAGGGTGACTAAAATGAATGCTGAGAGCTGAATATTGAGGAAAAATGGGGACATTTCTGGTAAGCTTGACCAGGATTAATAAAGCACGGTGGTGGTGAAAAAAAAAAAAAAAAAAAAAAAGCTAAATGAAATGGATTCAAGAGAAAACAGTGAGAAAGGAACCAAACCCAGTAAGCGCCCAAAGTACTGTTCTTTTTTTTAACTTATGAAAATATGTCATAAGCCTTTGCATATCATAAAAGTTTGGGTTAATTTAAAAACATAAAAAGCTACTGTTTATTGCAATAAACCTGTGTGTGTGTGTGTGTGTGTGTGTGTGTGTGTGTGTGTACACAAAAATATGTGCCTATGAACACTACTGGCTTTATTATTAAAGTTTAGATACAAACATAAAATCTCAAATAACACAAATGATAAGCACTTGGTGGTCAGAGACTGAAACCACCATACCAAAGACAAGTTAGCAGGGATATGAATTTCACTGAATACATTCTAAGAGTATTTTCAAAGAAACCGTAAAGACACACTAACCACAATTATTCCTATCTTTCTTTTCCAGGGATTATGACCATCAATTTAAGACCTTTTCCAGGAACAACAAAATTGTGGTGCAAGCATATATTCCATCTTCATAAAGCCTGGCAATACTAAATATGTATACACAGAAATTTATAAGAAATTTAAGATTACCATCAAAAATTATAGTAGTTCTACAACCTAATGAGGTTACAGAATATTTCTAAAGGGAAATCTAGTTTTTAAGACTCCTATATAATACCTCTTTCTTCTTCTCATCCCAATTCAGTTCTCTGCCCATCAGTTCAACAATCCTGGGTAGGGCTTCTTCTGCAGCCTGGACATTGAGAAAAGCCAGGCGAGTGCGGCGTGAAATCATGTCCACAGCGGTGCAGGCATACTCCTTAATTCCATATTTCACCTAAATTAAAGAAAGGTTATTTAAAAAGAGGAAATAAAATTTCACTTAAAAACTGGATGCTCTGAAAGGTTGTCTGACATTTCTGTTTACACTTTGTGTTTTTCCAAGACACTTGAGACAAATAGCAACAGAACACAAGTCTGTATCCCAGTGCCAAGGGGGCTTGGGAAATGGAGTAAATTGGACAAGAGTTAATGCCATCTTCTGAATAGAACCTGGCATCAACATGCAAACTGCATGACTCCCCACTAAGCAGTCACAGTAATCACTTACTTCTCTTTGTTTATACGTAATAGAGATGTTAATTTACATAACAAAATGGGCAAAGGAAGAGTAAAGTTATGCTCCCATCTCTGGAGGCTGTAAAGTCCTCTGTTTTGGGGTGACCAGAGAACAGAAATCCTCAATCTATGGAAAAGTGAATAGTTTCTGGACAACAGTGTCTCAAAGTACCATGGATCACAAATAAAAGTATGCTGTCAGGGTTCAGAACATTCGATAACACAAGAAACAAGACTCAACCTTTTTTTTGGTCTTTTCTGTATTTAGGACAAGGTTTAAAGCGTCTACAGAGTCTACAGGGTCTCACTACGTAGACTGGACTCGTAGTGATTCTCCTGTTTTCAACCTCCCAAGTGCTGGGATTATAAGCACACACCACCATGCCCAGTCTCAATCATGTCTTAGCACACATGGGGCAGGGCCAACTCAACTTTTTAAGAAACTGTCAAAAGAAGGTATGCCATCATGCAAGAAATGGACAACACATACTTGCAAAGACAAAAATTTGCGAAAGAAAGAGAGCTGTGAATTCACAAGACTTGGGAAGCTCCTTTGAGAAGAATGAATTCTATTTTATTATTACCAATATCAACATCATTTCAGAATTAAAATCTTGTGAATGAAAGAGAATCTACACTGGGTGGAAGGATATTTTTCTTAAGGTTTTTTTTTTTTTTTTTTTTAAGTGGTACCAGGGAGTAAACTCAGGACCCTGCACTTGCCAGGCAAGCACTCATTCCACTGAAGTATCTACCTGGCCCTCTTTTCTCAAGTTTTAGCTAACATATACACATTCAAACTTAGTCACTTGCAATTCTTAAAGAAAATGAAGAATGAACAGATGAATGGTAGTTCCTGGCAGACAGGATGTGCCGATGTGCCTGACCAGTTACATACCTCTGCTTCAATGTAAGGAAATTCTGACACCAGCCGCACTCCAACAATAGGCCACCTTTTCCCAGTCACACTTGCCATTTTGGCCACCTCAAAAGCCTTGTCACCATAGGTAGCAGCAAGGTGTTGTGCCACCTACATGAACAAAATTGTATTAGGGAAGGACTTTGACTACCAATACATTTTAGGTACAAAGCAAAACAAACAAAAAAAAGTACATGCTTACCTTCTCTTTTTTTTTTTTTTTACAGCCTGTAACTAATAGTTCTCAGAGAGTGTTAGGTTTTGATTTTGTGGGAGGAAACCACTTGGGCTCACAGATGCTTAGCCCAGCACTAACTCAGCTACTCATGTATCACTTGTATCAATGACTAATGAAGCTTCAGCTTCATTTTGCTCATGGCATCACTTCTGAAGAACAGTCTTCCTTGTACTTAGATGAGAAAGAATTTGGGAAGCTCTGTGCAACAGGAATAAACCAAATGGACTCTAGGTTTAAAACTAGAGACTTAAATGTATACTGATTTTTAGGCAACTTAGGCAACTATGGTAAAGAAGGATCACCTTTTTTTTTAAAAAAAAAAAAACTTTACTTTCACAGTACACAGAGAAATGTTCTCAGCAAAAGGATATGCCTCACATGGAGGCTGCCAATCCTGTTGTTAGTAATAGTGAGATGAAGTAAGTTCGGTATGACAATGCAGTAATGCCTACCTACCTCACTCTCAAGTCCATAATCCTGGACAAGCCTAATATACAGTGTGGGGCTCCAATCTTTGCCTCCCTGAAGGAAAAGTCCAACTGTCCTACTAGGTCCTACTTTCAAGTTGTGAAACTTGATTGCAGCATTCACAGTGTCTTCTGCCATAGATCGGTAAGTTGTCCACTTCCCACCTACAGAGAAATTGCTACCCCTTAGTTTTCTTTTAATTAACCATTAATCAGCTTACAAATTACAAAAACTGCCTATAATTATAAACATGGCAAACCAATGTTAAGACTCTAACCAGAATCATAAAATGAAAAACTTTATTCATTAGTTAGAAGAGAATCTCATGGGACAATTTAGTCAGGTTCACATCTAAAGAACATTCAAATAACAAGGTGACATTTCTGTACCTGCAATCGTGATGAGGCCACTCTCGCTGATGTCTACCACATGATTTCGGGAGATGGACTGAGTGTCTGCAGACTTGGGATCTGTAACGAGGGGACGGATACCACTCCAAGCTGCCAGGACATCTCCTCTTCTCACTAGCAAAAAGCAGTATAATGGGTTATGAGATTATTCAAAAATAAACTTACCAAAGGTATGAAAAAATTAAGCTGGGTGTGGAAGTGCATGCCTGTAATCCCAGCACTTGAGGAAGGAAACTGAGGCAGGAGGGTCACTGCAAATTTGAGGCCAGCTTGAGTCACAAAGTGATGTGAAGGTCAGTCTGTACTGCATAGCAAGACTCTGTCTCAAAACAAAAAAAAAAAAAAAAAAAAAAGGGGGGGGGGGGCTAGGAGTGGTCTAAGTGCCTGTATGGCAAGTGCAAGGTGCCAAGTTCGATCCCAAGTACTGCATGCCATGCCGGCCCTAGAATCCTGGGCATGCTGTGCTAGCCACTGAAGCCAGACATGGTGGAGCACACCTGCAATCCCAGCACTGGGGAGGCTGAGACAGGAGGATCACTGTAAGTCTGAACTGTGTAGTGAGATCCTGTATCAAATAAGTAAATAAATAAAAAAATTTGAGTTTTAATAAATTAATAAAAGACCAAAAAGGAGAAAAAATATTTTTAAAAAAAGGAATAAACAATTACAGATTTTTACACAGAAATTTAGAAATAAAATCATATAAAGCATTGTAGCAGGACAGTCCTATGACTTTTTTTTCCTGTCTCTTGTTTCATTTATTACCCTTTTTAAAAAAATAAACATTTACTTCAGAGATAGTATAACAGTAATTGATATGACATGACAAGCAGTATGTATTTAGAAGACAAGAATGGCAAGCATTCCAAGCATGACCCTAGTATTACATATTGCTATCTTCGGTGCAGCTGCTTAGTTCACAGGTATCAGCATATACAGTTAGTCAGGGTTAGAATCCTACCAATTAACTGCTAGTTTCAAAAACCTGCTGAAGATTCTTAGGATCATTGCCTTAACCATCTTGTGAATATAAATGTATGCTTTTGCCCCTGTTATGTTTCCCAGCTTTTCTGCTTGCCCTCTCTTCATTGTTTAATCCCTAAGTTCTCTTTTTCCTTTTAATTGTACTATATCTTTCTATTTTTTTTTTTAGTTCTTACACTACAGAGACTACATGATATTTACACAAGTGGGTCTTGTTTATTTCACTTATGAGTATATCTTCAAGTGGTATACACTTAAGGATAAAGCCTTCGAGTTTCTCATTCTTTATAGCTGAGTAATAATCCATTGTATAAAAATACCACATTTTTTCCATCCATTCCTCAGGTGATGGGCATTTTGGTTGTTTCCAAGATATGGTTATCACAAATTATGTTGCTATAAATATAAGTGCACATATAGTACTATGATGTGTTATTTTCAGTATCCCCAGTAGGGAGATAGCTGGTTTGAATGGGATTTCCAGTCCTAGTTTTCTAAGGAATCTCCACACTGATTTCCACAATGGTTGTACCAGTCTACATTCCCACCAGCAGTGGAGAAGGGTTCCTTTTTTCCCCGCAGCTTCCCCAATATTTGTTGTTGGTTGATTTCTTTATGATAGCCATCCTTTCTGGAATGAGATGGTATCTCAGTGTTGTTTTAATTTGCATTTCACAGATGGCTAGTAATGTGGAGCATTTTTTCATATATTCATTCGCTTCTATAATTTCATCTTCTGAAAAGTGTGTGTTCATCTCAGATGCCCATTTCTGGATTGGATCTTTAAATTTTGGGGCCCTGATGTTTTTTAGTTCTTTATAAATTCTAGAGAGCAGAGCTTTGTCTGACATCTTATTAGTTAAGATCTTTTCCAAATTTGTAGGTTGTCTTTTCACTTTGTTGGTAATTTCTTTTGACATGCAAAAACTTCTCAATAAAAGTACGTCCCAGCTATTAATTCTTTCAAGTATTACCCATGCAATTTGATTTTTGTTCATGAACTCTTTGCCTACCCCTATGTCTTCAAGAGTTCCTCCAAAAAAGAGAAAAAAAAGAAAAGAAGAAAGAAAGGCAAGGCAAGGTAAAGCAGCATTCAATGAATGTACATGAGGCTGCACTTTAAAAGACTGAGAAACCCCACAAAAGAACTGAGAGTCTAGATGGTTCCAAGAAATATTCAAAAAGAATGAACTGTTCTGTTATAAAGATAATCTAAATCTACCTGAAAAAGCTAGAAACCACTGACACTGATACCAAAGAGAAAGCAAATGCTAGCAACCCTCCAAATAAGGCAACCTGGAATAGTTAAGAGCTGTTGACCAGCACTCATAATTGACTTAAAAGCAGCTGAGGCAAGCAGATCAGATACAGAAATGATCAGTAAAGCACATGAAAAGATACCTGAGAACAGTAATCATGAGGGAAATGCAAATAACAACTACAATGAGATATTTCATGCTCATTAGGATGATCATTATCAAACAAAAACAATACAAAGTAATAACAACTAAACCAGAACATAGGTGTTGGTAACGATAGGGAGAAACTGGATCTCCTGTGCACTGATGGTAAGAAATATAATCAGACCCTCAACCTTATGTATCATATGGTTTCTCTCATATGAGAAACCAAAATTATAAGTAGAGCAGCATAAAAGAGATAACAGGATGCCTGCATTCCTACCACTTAGGAAGCAAAGGCTAAGGCAGGAGGTTTACCATGAGTTCGAGACCAGCCCGGACTACATAAGCAAGTTCAAGGCCAGCCTGAACTGCATAATAAGACCTTGTTTCAAAAAACAAAACAAAAAAAAAACAAAAAAAAGGGGGGAAAAAAAGAGAGAGAAATAGAAATAGTGAGGCAGCTCATTCTAAAATGGGAATGGGATGAAGGATAAAGGGAGTAGAGAGAAAGAAGGAAAAAAGGAATTAAGATTTGTTATGTAAATAATAATGTATTGACCACTGTTACCCTATTATCTTGAAGGGTTTTTTTGGTTTTTTTTCCCTCTCTCTCTCTCTTAAAAATAAAAGATTTGTGGGGGTGGTGAAATAGCTCAATGGTCTAAAGTGCCTTGTTAGGCAAGCTTAGGCAAAGCACAGGGACCAAGGTTCTATCCCTGGCACCACATGCCAGCCAGCCCTGCCCCCAGGGTGGGCTTAGCCAGCCACAAAAAGACAACAGAAATATAAAATAAAAGATTCGTTATATACATGGACCACTAACTCACAAGGAATGTACACATTATGTATTGCAAACATGTACTAATTTTTAAAAAGTAAAATAGTGTAAGTGCTATGAAAAAGACATGGGAATTCCTTGAAATATTAAACACTTAGAATCGCCATATGATCTAGCAATAACATTCTTAAATATATACTAAAGTGTATTTAAATCAGAGAAAATGTTTATGCTGTTGCCATGGCTCCTATGTAGATGCCTAGTTATGTGCTCAAAGACTGGGTTCTGCAGGGTTAATGAGTGATGGGCTTACCGCTGCCTTGCTGCAAGGAGGCTGGGCCTGGTTGAAGAGGTGGGTCAGTGGGACCATGCCTGGGAAGGGTTCATCTCCTCTCCAGATCCTCCTTGCTTTCCCTCTGCTTCCCACATGCTATAACTTGAGTAGGTGTTCTACTGCCCCCTCTATCATGCTGTCCTGCCTTGGAGTCAAGGGGTCATGTACTGAAATCTCTACAAACTGTGAGCCAAAGTAAATCTCTCCTTTAAGCTGTTGGCTTCAGATACTTTGTGTCAGTGATGAGGACAGTTAAACACCCATGTTCACAGTATTATTCACAATAGCCAAAAAATATCAAAGTGTCCATCAACAGATGAATGGACAAACACAATGTGGTACACAAATACAATGAAATATTATTCAGCTTTTAGGGAGGAAATTCTGACACATGCAACAAAGCAGATGAAACTTGAAGACATTATGTTACATAAATAAACCAATCACAAAGGGACATAAATTAAATAATTTCACTTATACTATTACAAAATAGTCTACAATCCTCAAACTCATAGAAGCAGAGAAAAAAGAGGTTTCATATACCTGTGGCAGTATTCAATGAAGCCCATGTTCAGGTACTCTAACTGAAATAAGCCAAGAAAGGACATAATGAATTGATGAGACAGCCTGAAGCTAAGGGGAAAATGTCTGCGATTTCCATGTGGGGGGCCTAGGTCTGCCCCTCTGATGTTTGCATTCTCTCAACTATGTTTAATCGTGATGGTTTCAGCTACAAAGGGTTAACTTCTGCATCACAAAATTATGTAAGTCTTGTAAAAGCACAAAAAAATGGAGGACTATTCAGCCATAAAGAAGAATAAACTGAGTCATTTGTAAGAAAACAAATCACTTTAAAACCATAAATCAAACAAACAAGCTTAAGTATTCATGATCCTCTTAAATAACAAATCCAAAATATAAAGAAATTAAAGAACAAAACAGAAGGTAGTAAGAAATAAATCTTTCTACACAAGGAAAGAGGACCAAGAGATAGAGGGACAGAGAGGGCAGTCTGAACAATGTAGATGTGTTAAGTCCATGTACCAACTTCTCATGATAACTGTAATCATTATGCACTGCAAACTTTTACTAGTTAAAATTAAAAAAAATGTTTAAACCCCCAACACAAATAATGAAATGTATTTAAATACTTACAAAAAATAAAAACCTAACTAGAAAATTACTACAACTTTCCACTAGAGTCCTATCACCCTCCAAGTCAAAAATAGAACTTAACCAATACCACTTATGTCACTGTGGTTACCACATGGGCCTCCAATGCCTGAAATTCCTTAGCTGCACTGATTAGGAATGTGTTTCCACATTTGGACCCCTTTGACTAATTTTAAGTTATTTGATGAAAAATTAAGACTTTCCAGGATAAATCTGAAGCACATGCAGATAGTCTGTGGAAAATGCTTTATGCCTTTTCCATTACAACAGGCAAAACTTGTATTCTCTGGAACAAAGAGCCAAACTTAAATAATGTCTAAATCTTCCATTTATCATAAACATTACAGCACATTGATGTCACTTTTATTCCTTACTCCTGAAACTTATCTTCAAAATAAACAAAACAAACTACTACTAGACAAAGTGCTTAAAATACATTAAC